TTTTTTCAAAAATTATATGGTGCAAAAATGTTGTAGAACTTGTAGAAAAAAAAAAAGGTAAAGGTCATCAAGAAAAAGAAAGTTTTTTTACTAAAAAAAAAAATATTGCAAGACGTTTGCTTCGATCTGTAGGAGGTTACGCGCTCATTTATCTTCAAAAACAACGCAATGCGTAAAAGGCATCATCGCAGATGATGCCTTTTACGCATTGGCATTACTTGGTTTATTTACATTACGCATTAGGTTTATTGACATTACTACTTTTTGGAGGTATAGCCGCAGGATTGGCAGGAACAGCTGCTCCTTTTTTAAAAATGTATAAATCACGCAAAAGAAAATTGTCTAAACGTACAAAACATACAAAAAGGCACTACAAAAGACGTTACAAAAGACGAATGCATGGAAAATTTTTGGGTGCAATAGGAGCGGTTGCTTCAAGACTTTTACCAAGAGTTTTACCTGTAATAGGAAGAGCTGCTTTAGGAGGCGCAGTTTCGGGAGGAATATCTTATGGAATCAATCAAATTGGCAAATAAAATTTTTTTGTATCATTCTATTTTATTAAAAAATTGTATTACAACCGTAGACTTTTTTGTGATTTAAATTGAATTTTTTGTAACCCTTATAATAGTTGATAAAATTTTCCAAACGTTTTAATAATACGACTAACTGTTTGTTTCGTATGTCAAACTTCCATATAATAAATGATTCTAGAATTGAATTCTTTTCTTTGTATCCCGGAGTATCGATAACAATGTTATAAAAATATTTTCTTCTTATACACGTCAATACAAAACTTTATAAAGTTCTTCGTTTGATATTTTTGTAACACAATCTATTTTGTCCATCACATCTTTAATTGATTTATATTTTCTTTTCTCTGGATTATTTAAAATGACTTTACATGATTTTTTTATTTTTTTCAAGTTCATTTTTTTTACTTCTTTTTCATGTTTTTCGATAGCATCGGTAATAAAATAAAAGCAAACTCTAATAAAATAATAAATTAAACAGTATATTCCACCTATTATCCAAGGTAGCAAGATTTGTAAACTTTAAAAACCTTCCAATTGAATTTTAAAAATTACAAAATTTATTCATTATATACTTCCAATGTAGTAACAAATTTGAGGAGGTTTCAGGTTCTGGTTTATACGGTTTCACAATAGCTACTGGTGGTGTCGAGTTTTGAAATTGTTGTAATGGTTTGTTTTTTATATCCATTTATTATGAAAACAAAATAAAATCAAGCATTAATATGTTAAACGCTTCTTTAGTATTTTGATTGACAAAAGGTTTAAGAAAAAAAAATTTTCATTCATTTTTTTAATCTTAAAGAGTTTAAAGAATTACGGTCTGATCTTAAAGAATTTTAAGAATTTCGGTATGGTCTTAGCTGAATGGAAGTAAAAATCCAAAAGGGGTGAATCATCAGATGTGGAGTTTCAAAAACAACTCCGGATATGAAAGCCACAAAAAGATCACTTCTTCCGAGTTTTTGGTATCCAGGAGCTCTAAAAATATAAATAAGTTTATGGACTACTAATAGGAAAAAAATTAAGACTTTTAGGTAAGAGGAACAATCATTTTTTGAACCTGGAGTCCTTTGGTATAATGGCGGCAAGGACTCCAGGACTCTGGGCTTAAAAACAATAAGTTTCAAGTCATTAAATCTCATGAATTTTTTACTTATAGCAGATCAAGTCAACAAACATGTTTAGAGCTTCTGGACACTACAGACTTGAAAAAAGTAGAAAAATAAAGACAGAGTCCTTTGGGACTCTGTATCCCTGATATCTAGACATACTGTATGGAAACATTTATTTTTTGCTTTGTTGTACTAATAACTGTGATATTCTCATTATATATAGAAACTATTGTTATCCTATAAGAACGTTACCATCTTAATTTTGATAATGTAAATATATTAGTATTTAATACCATACAAATTTAATATCAGACTTCAAATGTTTAAAAAAAATAAGCAATCTATTGAGTTTACTTATTTGAGCATTTGTATATTGTGTTGTAATTTAGTCTTACGTTGTTTGTTTGTTATATTTGTCAAAATTATATATTGCTAGTAGGCCCTTATATAAAAAAAAAGCCTTATACTGTACTTAATTTCAAGGAAAATTTAAAAATTTTGAATTATTATTATTTACTTAGTTTCCCAGACCATCTTCACCTGACGATTTGTAATTTATTTATTTATAATTCATTTTTTATCTGAATTTTTTTCTAATTACATGATCTAGACATTTTCATATAGCACTATATCAGAACACTTGCAAAATTCTTTAACATGCTTTGTTTTTCAAGTTCAATTTTTAGATATAATCTTATGGTAAAAGGATCGATTAACTTTTTTTATTTTGCTAATTTGGTTTAGAGGTTTAAATAAATGGGTGACTAAAGTTTTATTTCTATCGCATGTATGGAGAACCTAATATTAATTGATTACCAACAAGAATAACAAAAAGAAATCACTCAATAATTAAAAGATATTTTTTCTTTTGTGTTAATCTATTTTTAGATTCTACTGCAGAAAAACTTGAATTATTTTTTTTATGTGTTATCTTTTGTAATTCAATTAGACTTGAATTACAAAAGATAACACAAAAAAAAAAACTGAGTTCTGATTTTTTATTTAAAAGGTGGGGGTAGGGCTATGCGGGCCGCCTGCCTCGATAGTCTTGCACAGGGTTTTTTAAAAAAATAATGACGTCTTGATGAAATTTTTTTAATATTCTGAAAGTTTATTTTGTTGATTTCTCAAGCCAGATATAGTAAAAATTTTAATTGTAATAATAAATGTTTTTTTTTTGTTTATGCGACTCAATGATCGCAAAAAGTGACCAAAGGAGCCGTCCAGTTACAGAGACCTGGGAGATGTGAAAATAAAAACAGTTTGAAGATGATGTCATTTAGGTAATAAAAACAAAACTTAAATTAATGTAAAGACTATTTAGTAGGAGGAGTAAAAGTCAGCAACTCAGGAAGAGGGGAACCAAAATTCACACTCGAGTCATCTTTTAGCAAATGATAAAACAATGATTAAACAAGTCAATAAAAATCCGTTGGTTTATTAATGGTTTTCATAACTAAAATAACCGCACCATACAGATGTCTAATAAATGTGGTACTATATATGTTCTAAACTATAGATAATAAATTGAGAACTTATAATAACCTGTGTAACATAAAAATATATAAATGTCGTAAATGTAACAAATTTATAATAAAAAGCTCACAAAGCGCAAAAATTCATGGGTGTAAGAGTTAAAAAAATGTTGGTGCCATAATAACCAATTAGAATTAAGTAGTGGATAAATGGTGATCCCCCTCCTCAGGAATGCACTGCAATCACTAATGACGTTTCGCAGAGCCCGATACCTGCACTAACGCCACTTGTCAGAAGCGTGTCCTTGCAACAGATCTCACGGCCTTTTACATTTTTACGTTATTTACATAATCTAGTGATAAATTTGTCTTTTTAAAGAAATCAGGATTTAATCAGCATTTGAGAAGACAATATGGGTAAAACGAAGTGGCATATTCCGTTGTTTCCGAAAACAGAAATACAAATCAAAGTTTGATGTGTGCAATAAATATTTCTGGTGTGGTTGCCTATGAATTAAGAACTGGAGCTTATAATGCTGAAAGTTTTAAAAGATTTATAAGAAATAACCTGTGTAACTATTTCCGACAAAACCCAGACCATATACTGATAATGGATAATGTTCTATTTCACAGATCAAGAAGTATTATAGAAGTTTAAAATGAATTAAGAACAAATTTAATAAGAATGAATGAATTAAGAGTATATTTTTACAAAAAAAATGATAGCGTCTTGATGAAATTTTTTTAATATTCTGAAAGTTTATTTTGTTGATTCCTCATGCCAGGTATAGTAAAAATTTTAATTGTAATAATAAATGTTTTTAGCGAAAAAAATAAATAATTTTTTTATTTATAATTTTTATTTAATAATTTAGTTATTAATTAAATGATAAAAAACAATATTCAAAAGTTAAAATATAATCAATCGTTCTAATAAAACAACAATAAATAAAAAACTGCTATACATCAAACAGTTGTTTTATAAAAACGAAGGATTTTAATTATTTTGTTATGTTTATTCATTTCTCTTCTTCCTTTTTTTATTGTATTATGTTCATTCATTTTTCCTCTTTGTGAATGAAAATGTCATGGTATATAAAAATTTCTATAATTACAATTCTACAATTATTAACAAGTAGGAGAGTGACAAATCATTTATAAAAGACTTTGGTAATTAAATTTCGAATAGTTGGATATTTGTAAAATTGAGATAATAGTTTTTTGAAGTTACACTGCAGCAGTCAATTTTGAATCTGATCTCAATTCTTTTAAGCATACCAAAATAAAAAATAATTTCAGTAAATTTCAATGTTAATTGTCCTTTTTAAATCAGAAATTAAAATATGAAAAAAAAAAAAAAAACCCTGCTTTTTTCCCCCCAAAAAAACCATAATAACGTATCACATCTCTAATGAGACTCTCAGTGGCTGGTGAACTTTAACTCAGATAAAACTCAGTTGTTTTTTTTTAAGCTAATCGTTATTACAATAATCTAGATCTTCCTATATTTATGAATGGTAATGTACTTAATTAGTCATCTACCCTTTGTCTTTTTTTTTTTTTTTTTTTTCTCAAACTTCAGTTCTTTTGAATTTTTATAGTTTCTTAGATTCAGTTTTATAGATTCATATAGTTTGTAATCTTTTAAGTTGTCTTTTAATTGTTATCTTGCTTCTTAAATTTCATATTTTTTCTTCTAGTAACTTCCAATTCTATAGGTGGTTGCTTGCAGCTTTATCAGAAGTGTATATATCAAAAGTGTATATAACTGTAATATGTTTAATTATAAATGTAATCAATTTTAAATTGTTGTCATCAAGAAGACTGATAACAATTTAAAAATTTTTCAAAAAAAAATTTTTTTGTTTTGTTTTTAGAAATCGTATACTTGGTTCAGATTATGATGAAAACAAGCCAAAACTTGACACTGAGAGTGTGTAAGTGTATTTAAGTAAATTATTTTCTTAAAAAGTCAAACACAAAATTAAACAACACAATCAAACAAAAATAATTTTAGAGTATAAATGTCAAATGATCAAACAAAAAGTCAAAAGTTTTGATATTTAATTAATATTATTTTTGCTATAAAAATATTAAATAGAATGTGATGCAATTCTATGTTCTTTAATCTAATTTTGATGTGAAATTATAAATTTGTGGACAAATAAAATACATGAAAGTGTTGAAGATTGTATTATTGAAATTGTCAGATGCAGTTGTTGCTTACTTTAAATTTCAGGCTGTAATCTTATAATAATTTATAAATTTTCAACATTTTAATTAGTTTTTATAGCTGTTGAGATTTTATAAATTTTAAATTTTTCAAGGAAAATCTCCATAATACAAAATCCTAGTCGAAGTTCTCCATTAAACAGTCCTCCTCCTGTTTCATCAAAGATCATAGCAACAAAAGAATTTGATAACATCATAAGGTTGCCAAGGTATGTCTTCTAAACAAAATAATCTTTTTTTTTCTGTAAATGTTTTTTCAGCAGTATTATTTTTATCTAAACTATTAATATTTTAATTAGGATTATTTATTTATGAAATATATATTTAACAAACTGCTGATGCTGTTGACTACAATTAAATCTTATAAAAATTTTGACTACAATTAAATTTTCTGGCATTTTAAATATTTTGTATCTGTGTGAGTAACAAGTTTTTATTTTTTTTAGTGGACCAAATGATTTAACTGGTTTTAAAGAAAACCGCTAAAGTGTGTTCTAAATTAGAATCGGTGGATTTTACTTTAACATTGATCATTCTCAAGTTAAAGGACATAAATGGCATCTTAATATGAAAGTTGTTACCAAAGTTGAAAAGAGCTGCTGATTGAATAACAAGAGTAAAATAATCTGTTATTTTAGCGTGGGATCAAAATTGACTGCTGATTCAAGTTAAGCTCGCTTTTCAAACAAGTAGATTGGTTTTATTTCAAGCGAGTCAAATTTCTTGAAGTCCATATTTGTATGGTAAAAAAAAAACAAGTTGAAGTGCACGAAGTACACAGTCAAAATATGTTTTCCAAATACTCAAGTTATTTTAAATGTTTTTTAGGGCATCTTATGAGAAAATTGACCTTTCTTGAATACTTGCAGAACTTTAGTGAAATTTTTGTTGTCTATATTTTATTGAATTTCATTTTTTTAAAAGAAGAATTTGAAAATGTAAAGATCTTTTTTTATCAAACAAGTGGTTTGATTTTATTTTTAATAAATCCAAACACATACTAGCGTTATGATAAATATATATATGTGTGTATGTGTGTCCCCGAGCGTTCAGAACTAAATTCTTTAAAAATCATAAAAATGGATAATGGAAAATAATAGCAGTAATTGGTTTCTTTTAGAAACTACCTCCTCATTTCAGATGTTGTACCCTTATTTATCCTTATATTGTTGACAATATAACATGTAAACCTCAATCTTCAGTAAAAAATATATTGCTGCAAAATTTTTTCAACAAAATAATTATTTTACTAGATTAAAAATGGCTATACCATTTATAACCAAGTGAGATAATGTCTGATAAAAGATTTATTAAATTCGGTATACTTTTAGTTTTCTTTAAAGTTTGAAAAAATATATATTTTCTTCAAAATCTGAAAAGCTTATTTTCCTCAAGAAGAAATTAGTTGTTGTAGAACTTTTAATAAGGTTTATATATTTAATCTTTTGTTTATTTCTTAAAAAAATTAATAGAATTTTTTTTCAATTTTCATCAAGTGTTACAAATATGTGTATGTATATATATGAAGACCACAGGAGAAAAAGATCACATGTCACATTTTCCAATTATTTGAATTTATGTCCCTTATTATATAAACATAAACCTGAAGGTTAACAAAAAAGTAAAATCCAATCCAAAAAAGGCCTATGTAATGCTACAGAAACACACAAAGAAAAGGCATACTGGGGAAACTTTCAGACTTTCAAAGACAAAATTTGATTTACCTCAAAAGCGGAAATGTGTGACGTGCTTTTTTTTCCCTGTAATCATATATATATATATATATATATATATATATATATATATATATATATATATATATATATATATATATATATATATATATATATATATGTATGTATATATAGTATATATATATATATATATATATATATATATATATATATATATATATACATATATATATATAAATATATATATACATATATATATATATATATATATACATATATATATATATATATATATATATATATATATATATATATATATATATATATATACATACATATATATATATATATACATATATATATATATATATATATATATATATATATATATATATATATATATATATATATATACATATATATATATATATATATATACATATATATATATATATACATATATATATAGACATACATACGTACATACATACATACATACATACATGTGTTCATGTATGAATCAATAAACAGATATCAATAAAATTTTAAAACATTTTATAACTAGTTTTGATTTGGTTTTGTAATTTTTTGTTTAGTAATATTTGTATAAATATTTTTTTTTGTTTTCATTCCTATTTATAACTTAAAATCAAAATGTTTTCAATTTATGGTTGTTCATTTTAATATCTTTTATTTATATTTTCTGTTTTTTTTTTTTTATTATTGTATGCCAATTATTGCTTATATAGCCATATTATTGCACTAGCTTATATATAGCTATTCATGAAAGTTTAAACGAGGGTGTAATTTTAAGAACAAATCTTTGGTTTTTCTTTAATAAAAATGTAACGGAAATGGATATCAAAATAATTTTTCCCCATTCGGTAACTAGGTTTTGTGATCAAAAATAAATAAAAAAAGTAGGTTTCTACTCATAAGTGATCTCTTGGGAATTTGATTAATAGATAGATGTGAGAAATTAATTGGTGTCATAAAAGTTTAAACAAGTTTATTAAAATTCAATTATTTGTTAATTAATTAATTAATCTATTGCGAAAATTGTTTTAAAACATAAATATAAGTAGATTGAGTGGTTTTCAGTCAATAAAAATCGTCACAACATTATTAACAGCTTCATATTCAACGAAAATCAACTGAAATCATTGCAAATTTCAAACAATTTCAAATTGCGTGCAAATGGGGCGAAAACCAGTTTCAAGTGAGATCAAATGGCAAATTATTGGTATGTCGAAGTCAAAAATTCACAGCAACGTTCAAATAGGCAAAAAACTTGGGGTTTCTGAATCTTGCGTACGAAAAGCAGTCAAAATCTGGAAGCTTACTAAGGACGTCGTTGACATGCCGCATTCCGGGAGACCATCGAAGCTTAGTGACCGTGAAAAAAGTAGCATATTCAGAAGCTGCAGAGAGAATTCTAGACACAGCTACAAAAAGCTAGCACAAATCTTCAACGAGTCGAAAAATAAACATAATGTAAGCAGAGAGCTTGTTAGGCGAACATTGCTGCAAAAAGGTATTGGAACGTACATTGCAGCAAGTAAACCTATTTTATCAATCATGGACCGACGTAAACGGCAAATATGGTCAAAAGAAAGATTAAGCTGGACTGTTGAAGACTGGTTAAAAGTTATTTGGAGTGATGAAGTTAATTTTCAAGTTGTTAACCGCAAGGGAAGACTATATGTCAAAAGATTTGCAACAGAGAAATATTTAGAACGGTTTTTGCAACCACGTCGACAAGGCTGTGGAGGTTCCATTGGTATTTGGGGATGTTTTTCTCACAAAGGTATCGGTATGTGTGAGCTGTACAAAGGCCGAATAAATCAGTACACCTACAAAAATACATTGGAAATGTGTTTAATTCCATCAATCAGACAGTTGTATGGTAGAAGCAAGCAATTTATCTTTCAACAAGACGGGGCTCCAGCTCATACAGCTAAATCAATCAAAGAATATTTTTTGCAGAAAAAGATAAATGTGATCCCTTGGTGCCGTAGATCACCAGATCTCAACCCAATTGAAAATATTTGGTCTTGGATTGACAATTAACTTACTTATTACCAAATACAATCAACTGAGCACTTAAAGCAACTTTTGAATGAGTACTGGTTGAAGGTACCTCGAGAGATGTGCATGAAATTAGTTGAATCGATGCAGAAACAAGTTTACCTTTGCTATAAAAACAAAGGCGGACATTTTAAATATTAACTTTGTATTTTATTTCCATTTTTTATTTGTTTGTAAAATTTTGTTTAAACTTTTGTGCTACTCATTTTTCACATGTTTATGTTTGTAATTAACTTTTTTTTAATTTACATAAATCATTTCATAACAAGTTCACATTCATTCTAAACCAAATTACTTTTTATTTATCAAATAAAAAAATTATATCTACATTTTTATTTATTTTTTTATTAAGAAAAAAATAAACCTACTTGATCAAAATTACTTTCGTGAATAGCAGCTGTACATCATGTATGATTCTGCACTTAAAAATTTTTAAAAATCAAAGTTCTCCAATCAAAATATTATGTTTTAAGAATATTTCTGCTTTCAGTTTAAGGTTCTGCTTTCAGTTTAAGGATTAGCATTTATTTATGTTCATTATTGATTTAATTATGCATGATTTTTTCTTAAATATTTGTAATGTTATGAATATAAAGTTGAAATAAAAACTTAGTATGATTCAAAGTTAAGATTTTTTTCAGATTTTATGGATTCCTATGATTATGCATTTAAGATAGTTGTTGTTGGAGATAGTGGAGTGGGGAAGTCTAGTTTGTTAAACTGCTTTTGCTCCAGACCTTTCGATGAAAATTTAGGACCTACCATAGGTGTCGATTTTAAGGTTATAGTATTATTTAATATTATATATTATTAATTTTGTTGAATATACCTTGTCTAATTTTTACATTTTATTACAATATATGTACTATCTTATTTTAGTTCATTAAATTTTATAGTGCATATCGACAATTATAGCGCGATCAAACATTGAACTCTTAATATATGTAAGCGCAAGATTCAACTCCTGCTTAAAAAAATTATTTTGGGAGCAGGTGAGACTTCTTAGTCATGCTAAAACCAACTTACCTAGAAAATGGAGAACTCTGGTATAAAACCCCTAGTTTAATTTTGGTTAAGGCTAAGAGGAGCTTGTTAACCTTGGATTCAATCCTTCCAGTGGTATCACAATAAAAAATATTCATTTCTTCTCTGCAAAACATGTAAATGTCAGGAAAAGTATCTGGTTGTAAAAACTGCTTCAACTTCTCCATAATGTCATATTTAAATAAAATAGCAAAAACCTGTTCAAAAACCTGTGGAAATAATAATTTTTTTTTTTAATTGTATATAATGTATACATATTTTATTAAGTGTTTTTTGTAGGTTTGTGATATAAACATTGAGTCAGGTGCTTCCAAAAAGCATATAAAACTTGAGCTCTGGGATACTGCTGGGGAAGAAAGATTTAGAGGCATTACATCTGTTTTTTATCGGAATGCTCATGCAGCTCTTATTGTGTTTGATTTAGCACGTAAAACAACATTTGATAGTGTAAAAAGCTGGATTGAAAACCTAAAAAGGTATTGTGGAGAAGACATCAACTTATTATTGGTAGCAAATAAATGTGATCTTAAGCAAACTGTTACGAGCTCAGATATTGAGGTTTATTGGATTACTATATATGAACAATATTTATATAATTTTTTATTCAAAATGTTTTATGTTATTTTACTTTTTTGTAAATTAATTTTGTAAATCAAATTGTAAATAATAACAAATAAATTAATTTTTTAAAGGCATAAATTAATTAATCACTTACTTAAAAAATTTGTAAATAAAAAAGACAAAGATAATTATTGCTAAGAACACATTACTTTGTTTTACTATTTAATTCTTGATTGATTAATTATATGTATAACATTTTAAACTAGTTAAAAGATTATATTACAAGGTATAATTTGAAAATAATTATAGATTGTAAATCTTTTTATATTTGCTTTTCTTATATTTTATATTTTTCTTTCTTATATTTATATTGATGTATACTACAGTTTTAAAATTCAGATTTGCACATGAGGCAAGCACCTGTTAGATATACACAGGAAAGCACCTGCTAGACTTACATATGAGGCAAACACCTGTTAGCAAAATAATAAACATATTTATGTTTTACAAGTTTTTTTTAGTAATTAATGAGTTTTAATAATCAGTAACAGTATTAAAAGAGGCACAGAAAAGACACAACTTTGAATTGAAATGATTTGCAAGAGAAAATCATAGGAAGTGATGAAGATAATAGTTTTGTAATACATAAAAAAAAATAAACTTTAACAAAGTGTTTTTATTTCTTTTTTTTCTTTGTTTGAAAAGTTAAAAAAAAAATCTTTATTTAAAAAAATAGTTCTAATAATAAAATATAATAGTTTTAAGTATTGTGTTTTTTGATATATAATAAATTTAATTATTGTATTTATTTACTAGAGATTGTTGAGTTAATTGATTTAAGTTATTTTTATCATTAACATTAAGGACTTTGTGTACTGGAACAATATTCAATACACGGAAACCAGTGCTAAAAACCATATTAACATACAAGAAACTATCAGAAAACTATCAGAAGATTTAGTATTAAAACATCAACAGTTGTTATCATTAAGCTCATTTGATTCAGGACCTGGAAGTATATTTTTGCAACATACACGTCAGCAGACCCAAGGTTACTGCTGTGGATATTTAGAATTTTAAATAGTTTTTGTAAGTTTATTTTTATTTAAAGTCAATTTAATATAAATATTACAAATATTTTTAATATATATTTTAATATATTTTATTTTTAGTTATTTTTTTTATTATTTATTGAATTTATTATTTTAAATATATATTATTTTTAATTATGTATAATTTATTTTGTTTTAATAAAAACGTTAAAAAATTTTTTTATCATTTAGGGTAACTCATATTTGGTTTTTAAATTTATTGTATATGTAGTATTCATAATTTTTAAATTTTTCGTTGTTTTATTTTATGTTGTAGATATTTTATTTTGCAATTATAATTATAGAGGTTGGTATGCTTTATTTCTTATAATAGATCTGTAATAGATGTGTAATATCTTGATATGATTAACTTTTCACATTTAAAAAAGTTCAGTATTCATAACCAATTTATTTCTCCATACAGCAACCTTGTTTGTAATTTGGAAGTATGTTTCAGGGTAATAAATAATAAAATAATAATATCTTTACTGTCTTAACAGCCCCTGAATAAAATAAAATTTCTAATAAAAAAAAATTTAACAAAATAAATCATATTTTTATTTAACATGTTGTATTTAATTACTTTTAGTTAATTTTTTTGCTTTTTTTCTCGATGTACTATTTTTTTTTAGGTGATTCTCAATTTATAATAAGTTACTTAATAATTTGGTATGTTTAAGTTCAGTGGAGCACTTCAGCTTACAGATCTCAATGATTTTATCACTCCATCTCAAGTCTGTATTAAACCTGTAGAGATAGAAAAGGTGAAGAAAAAAGGTGATACAACTATAAAGATTGAAGGAGATAGCTATTACCAGGTTATTTAACTGTGTAAATTTAAATTGCAAATTTTACCAATGTTTATTGTACTATCTTGCTTATTGATGTTTATTAATTAAAGGGATCCCTAAGTGCTCCTAACATATGATCTCATATGAAAGAGCATAAAAAGTATGTAAGTTTTTTTCTTTTTCACTAAATTGTAATAATAAATACATGCTAACAAAAAGCAATTGCCGAAATCACTGAAAAACAACTCTATTTTGATTTTATTTTTTTACAATTGAAACTCGATTGTTAGTCGTTAAAAATCACGTTAGTACGTCACAACAACTTTAGAATATCTACTTCCATTTTTAAGTAAAAAAAAGTCGTGATTAAATAGTTAAGTTTTAATAAAGTTTTTTTAATTAGTTTTGCAAAAACAGTATAATAGAATTCGGTTGAAAGAGGTCGTTAAAAAAAAGTTATTAAGTAATAGTTTTAAATAGTTTAGAACTTATAAAAAAAGTCTTACAAGGCTTAAGCATATCGCGATCGTGATTGTTTTTTCACACTTTTTTCTTTAAAAAAATCTTTTCGCGATTTTTTTTTTTTTTTTTGGTGTTCAATTACTTTTTTTCTAGCTTAGCATTTTTTTTTTTTTTTACCAATTCTTAAAAGTAATGTTTTTATCATAAAGAAAGTCACACAAAATTTATTATTCTGAATAGATAGATGAATAGATGATTTGCGCGGAGATTTTCTTTCAACGTAAAAGATTTTTGAATTTAAATTACTTTAAATCTCTGTGTGGAAAATTTTTAAAAGGTTGTTAAAGTGAAAAATTGAAAAAGGCAAAAGACGTTAATTCGAATTTTTTCTTCATTCTAACAAAACAGCCTGGTTTTTATCTTTGTTTATCATGTTTAAAATAAGGCTTAAAAACGTTGAGCAAAAAAATTGCTGACTTTTATTTGCATTTTTATACTGTTTGAAAAAAAAGCTAATAAAAAAAAAATTATTATTATTAATTCTAATAATTATTATTTAATATATTATTAGTTAATTCTTTTTTATTAGTTTTTTTTTTCAAATAGTAAAAATGCTAATAAAAACCAGCAATTTTTTTACTTTAACGTTTTTAAGCCTTATTGAAAACATGAAGTATAATTAGATTTATTAAACCAAATTTTTTTGTTTCACTTTTTATTGGAAAACAATTGAAATAGAAAAATTGAATAAAAACATCAACTTAAAAACCATTTAAATTAAAAATTTAATTATATTTAAACTTTTATTAGTCCTTTATTCAAGAAACAATAAATTATAAAAAATGTGGTATCTAATTTTTTATTAAGTTTTTGACAATGTTTTTTGATTTATTGACAATAATTTTTTAATTTATTAAAACAATTTCATTTATTTGCATCGTTTTGTTTTAAATGCATTTTATGTTATTAAACTGTATAAAACAGCAACAAAACAGCGTCACGAAGTTGTTTTACATTAACACAAGCTATTTATATTTTAAAGACAACTTTTTGTTTTGTTATTTTATAGCTTTTTACAATAACAATTAAATACTCATTTAAAAACATGTGTTTTATTGTCAGCGTGATTGTATTAAACAGTTTTTAATGGCTAATTATAGTGACTTAAATATTGCCGTGACGGATCCAAGAATTTTTGGTGTGTGAGATGTTAAAATATTTTTGAATTTTGTATCATGTTTGCGTCTCCTGAAAAAAAAAGCAAAAAACAAGGTCCTTAATTTCTATGATATTTTCAAGACTTTCAGATTCTGGTGGGGGGAGGGGATGCATACCCCATCCTCCCCCTAGATCCGTCACTGAAATATAGTAATGTTTGCTTTTTACTCTTATTTTTTTACTTTTACTTTTTTAAGTATCATGTTAAGTAAAAACAATTACTTATTTAATAGTATTAAATACGTTACTTGCTCATTACACTGTAACTGCAACTTAAACTATAAGTTGTAAATTATAACAGTAACTTACGCTATTTTAAACTCGGCCAAACAAGAAAATCATAAGATAACATTTAAATATGAGAAGAGACAATTTTATACTAACGCAACCCCCTCCCCCCATTACCACACATCGGCGCGAGCTATAAGAGAGAGGGGGGGAGAGCAAAAAATTTTTTTTACTTTTCGCAATTTGATTTTTTTGCATTAATTCGAGCCTTGTCGTAGTTTAATTTCTAATAAAATGTCTATTCAACCTTATCAATTTGAACCAAAAAAATATAGCAAAATTAACATAAATGTTGATTTAACTAAAACATTTTACAATAATTATTTTTTTTATCAAGCGAAAATAAGAACAACCGTCACTTTCAAAACCATAAAAATGACTGAAATAAATTTATTTTTGTACTAAGGAAATATTTTAAATAAACTTTCATGTGTCTACATCAATATTCATTTGTTAAAAACTGACTAAAAAGAGTTTAAAAGTGGAATTGCCCTTATAACACAAATATATAAATGAAAATTATTAAAAATATATTAATATACAAATATATTTTCACAAAATTCTACAAAACTTATTCTTGTAAGTAATTTTGTGTTAGTTTAAAAAAAAACGAATTTACTTTTAAATTTAATTTCCAACTAATACGTTTGCAATAATGAGATTTTGTTTAATTTGACGTACAAAGGTTAGTTTTTTGAAGCAATAGAGTCAATAAACTTTGGACAAAACGCATTTTTTTAATCAAAGCGTTTTTTTGAAAATTAAATTTGTTAGTGTGTGTTCATTATTACGTTTTAGAAAAAATAATATACATCAAACATTTTTTTTATGCTCTTTCATATAAGATCATATCTTTATAGCACTTAGGGATCCCTTTAAAAGTGTTTAAACTTTTTTATGTCAAATATGTCTGTATATTAGGGTGTCCTTTAAAACAACATTTTTAAAAATAGTCTGCTCTCAGCCCCTAAATGTGTTCTATCTAATACAAAAACACTAGATTTAAATTTTTTTTGAATAAAAAATTGTTTAAGGTGTCCTTGAAGACTCTCAAATATTTAATGAATCCCTAATATTTTCAAAAAAAGTGGTACTCAAATGAAGCAAAATTATATAAAAATTTCAAAAATAATATTCATTTTGAAAAATTTTTTAACTTATTAAAATTATCATAAAAAAACATAAAAAATGCATTTTTTTTTTCATTTTTTGTTAAAAAACGCATTTTTTTATCTAATAAAACCATTAATAACATTTTTTTTGCTGTTGATATTTTTGTATAATTTCCCTTCATTTGAGTGCCAGGTTGACATATTTTTAAAAAACTTTTTTTTTTGAAAATATTAGGAACCCATTAAATATTCAAGGGTCTTGGGGACCCCTTAAAATATTTTTTATTCAAAAAAAATTTAAACCTAGTGTTTTTGTATTAGATAGAACACCTTTGGGGGGTGAGAGCAGATTATTTGTGTGATTATACCTAATGTATCAGGGGCTATTATAGGAAAAAAAAATTGGGCGGTGGTACCCCCAGCCCCAGAGGAAATATTGCAGAATATCGGCGTTTTTCACGAAAAAACAACAACAATGTTTGCCGTAAATGTAAAAAAAAAAAGGTCTTTATTTTTTAATTTGGGTGGCGCCCAAATACGGGCGACGTTGTCGAAAACAGTCTAGATTAGCCCCTGTGTATACTCAACGTAGTTAAGGAGATACCTGAAGAAAAATATAGCGTCCAAGCCCTTTCGTTTTCAAAAAACGCCGTTCTATTTTGTGTGCGTTTTGATGGGTTTATTTTTTAAAAAAACCACAAATCTTGTTGTTTTATTTTGTTTACAAATATTTGGTAATTTATTCAAATGACTATAAAGAGATTATGAAAGTAAATTGCTATGAGAGAAAACTAATGTGCAAAACATTGATTTTAACGTTTTTACTGTTTACAGAAAGATAAAATATGAGGTTTTTAGCCATTTATTGAATATTTTGATGCCGTAAACATGGTAGCTTTTTATTTTTAAATAATAGAGATACTTTTGGAATGTAAAAAATTAACACATTTGTTTCACCTGTTTTCATGATGCTGCCCTGTCGCGTTTTATGTATTTTAGTGGTGGTTTTATTTTGTTTTATACTTTGATTGAAAAAAGATTTATGAAAAAATAATAAATTATATAAAAAAATTTTAAATTCTACTCTTTAAAAATATATAATAGTAATAGTTGAAAATAAGCCAAACACACAAAAAGTTGAAGTTTAAAAACTTTTTTTGGATCTCTTCTTAACTACACTGAGTATACCATAGATGAGTTTTTTCTGGGAATTCCGGAATTTTACTTGAAAATTTCTTTACTTTTCTAGAAATTTCAGGATGTTTTTTGTTATTAATTTGAAAAAAAAATTATATGTTTTTACATAAAATTTTAAATTCAACATTTTTTGCATTTAAACAAATATGTTTTCTATAATTAAAATTTTCACAAGATTAATTTTCGTAACAGTTTTTTTTCTCTTTTTTTTTTTGCTTTTTAATTCATTCAAATTAACTTTTTCTAATATTAGAAATTCCTTTTTGTAAAAAGTTAAATAATCTAAATTCCATTTAAAGTTTACAAAAGTTTTTGTCTGTTAATACGATCAATTTTTAATAAAATAATTTCCCGGGATTTTCTGGGATTTTCAAAAAAAATAAATTTCCGGGATTTTCATGTGTGTATATATATATATATATATATATATATATATATATATATATATATATATATATATATATATATATATATAGTCTTGCATGTCTCTTGCGTAGCATCAAAAAATATTTCCCATAAACTGTAGTTTTAAAGAGCGCGTTAATAAACCAGACCAGAAAAAGTTTTAAAAATTAAATTTTTTTTTTTAATTGATAGACTGCCTGGCCAAACCAAACCCTCAGTCGATGTAGCAGCACTCTCTTGCGAGTCAGGCTATTTGTCAGTCGTTGTAGCAGCACTCCCTTGCGAGTCAGGCTATTTGTCAGTCGATGTAGCAGCATTCCCTTGCGAGTCAGGCTATTTGTCAGT